AACATCTGCAGGTTCATGCTGTTGAAGAAACTAAATAAAGACTATTTGGGTTCCAGCTCTACAACCAGTGTAGGACACAGGATTAACTCTTTGATTGGTTCTGGCTCCACAACAGTTTGACTCCTGATTCATGAGACAGTTTGGTAATGCAAGACCCAGGTGGACTTCTCAAACCTGTTCCAAATCTGTGTGAATGTCACGTTCAGCGTGGTTTGTTATATCATCATAAAAAGTTGTTTTTTTGGATGATAACGAACAAGTGCTAAATGCAGATACTCAGAATGATCCTGGGTTTTTCTTGCCTTTAACTACAGCAACAACCAATGAATGGTTTTATCGATACACGTTGTCACAACTTTTTGTTACATGTGTGTTTATTTGTTAGTTTGATGGTGATTTAGGTGAATTGCTTCTTATACACTGTGGAAATGTGTTAAATACATCTGCTTCACTTATTATTAAAAGATTATTACAAGATATTATTAAAGGAGCGCAGAAAGTCCACACATCTTCCTCCACAGACTAAAGACACATCTCTTCTGACTACACCTGAGTGTAGAAGATGATGTCTCATAGCCATCGTCAACTCTGAAAAAATCTAAAATATATGAAGCATCAGCTTATTGATATGTAATGTTAAAAAGATTATTTAATGATATAGTTATTATTAAAAGTATGACAAAAGTAGTTCAGATTAGAGCTGGCTGCAACTACCGTGCTTCAATACAAAGCTGAAAAATGATGATATAAAATAATATACCTGTGTGCACAATGTTAGAAGTAAGTCTAGGTTTATTCTAGTGGCCCTCTGGTGGCTTGGGGGCAATAAGACACTCCAGTGCTTATGTTTGAGGATGACTGTAATTTCTGCCTTAAAGGTACAGTGTGTAGAATTTAGTGATATCTAGTGTTGAAGTTTCATGTTGCAGCTGAACACCCCTCACCTCACCCTCTCATCCAAAAGTGAAAAAGAACCTGTGGTAGCTTCAGTTGTCATAAAAACTCAAAGGGTGTTTAGTTTGTCCAGTCTGGACTAATGTAAAAAACATGGCAGCCTCCGTAGAGAGGATCCCCTCAATGTAAATATAAAGTATTTTAATATAAAGGGCCTTTTCTAGGGTAATGAAACTATGATTCATACAATCTAGATGAAATGAACTAGTGAAAACATCATGAGGATTGTTCTACATTAAATTTCTGCCAATAGATCCCTTTCACCTAAATCTTACACACTGGACCTTTAAATAAAGAAATGAATTGAAAGGCAGTAAAATGAATAAAAACATTTCATAAAGCCACACTTCAATTAAATGAGGCTGAGGTTGTTTGGTGGAGCTGTATGTGCTCATCATACTGTCTCTCTGAAGTTTGATATGACTTTTGATAACTGGATGTGAAAGTTATGAAATCATTTTTTCACCTCTCCACACACCCGCACTAAAAGCCAACTGATCATTATGTTTGATCCGTCACTTGAAGGATTAACTTCAGACCAAATGAGCTTTCTCACTTTGACTGTTGCACATCTCCAGCCCACTCACACAAACAAACACACATACATCTGCATGCACACACCCCAGTTGCTTTGCTCCCACTCAAACAAAAGTACGTGGGCCACAGAATCAAACAGTGACCAGAGTGGGCTGTGTCTCGATGTTGGTGACAATGTTAACAGACAAGGAAACAGTTGTTTATTCTCTCATATGAAATTTGTGGCAGTGGTATGACCTGAGTGGGAAAGTTTAAAAGTGAACTAGAGGTTTTCAATTCGATTTCCAGTTTGAGAGTCATTGCATTTCAACTTGAGGGATTTCAATTGTTTTAATGGACTTGATTGCAGAATAGATTCTGTGTTGTAGGGACGACCAGTCACAATTTAAAACCACGTCCTAATGATGAGCTAATTATACTGTGATGCTAACTTTACAGATTTGTGTTTTGATGACACCGTGTGATCGGGTCACACCCCGCCTCAGTGTGCTGCCCCACCCCTCACCTGAATCCTGCAGGGGATCTGTCTGAGCAGAGAACCTCCTGCTGCGTTGTGCATGTGTGAGAAGCAAACTGTGGAGAAAGTCCAGACCCAACTCACCGGACGATCCTTCGCTGGACATGACTGACAGCTTTAGAAACACATTACCAACACTCCCTTCAAACAAAACTCAAAATATCCTCCTGTGGTCAGCAGATACAAATGTGAGCGATTGTTATATGAGGTTTAAATTAGTAGAACTAAAGAAATATGTTTCATCTAATTTGTTAGGGTCACTGCTGTATATTATTAACTATCTTCCAGTCTAATGTAAGAATATCAGTGCCATCAGTCATGAGCATGTTTTATGGTGAGCACAGGGGTTTTGTATTTAATCACTTCTAACAAAGTTGTATTAATGTTGGGATGTCCCATGCCTTTTTCCCTTTTCCCGGATGATTCTGCAGCTCACATTTTGTGTCCAGGGTCAACGTTCAGCATCAATGTAACAAACTATGTGTCCTCCATGTGTATATAGGGAGGTTAAGGGTTTGGTTGAGCTCGAAAAGAACTTGTTCATGACCATTTAAGAAATCAAATGTTGTTCTGGACAGCGTCACAAGAAGGTGCATTGAAAAGGGGGAGATGTGATATGTGGGAATCACCGCACATGTTTTCAGACAGTCTCTCTTGGAAGACCCTAGTAATGTAACGAACAGGAGAAGTTCAGGGAGAGACTCTGCCTTCAGGTGTGGCTACTTGGATCAGGGAGTTGTGGTTGGATAGTTCATCGTAGCAACCAGTTCTGAGGCTGCACAGAGGTGTAAAGGTCAAACTGGTGGATGGGAGTGATTCTGTTAAATGTACTAGAAGCAATAGAGACGTATGAAACACAAGCTGGTGAGACAGTGATGGTGATGTGAGCTGTAGTTCCACAAAGTGAAACCGCATCGATACTTGTTCAGCAAAGCAAGAAGATATGAAGGGGCAAATTAAAACAAGAAATAATATGTATAGAAAATGTGCCGCGGGGTTTACAATGGATTTGGGGGGAGATCAAGGGGTGTGACAGTTTGATGCTCCTGGAATCCCACAGGACTGCTTCAGTATATAAGGCCTCCTGCTCCACTATGTCAGATTCTGTGTGTATATGACCTCACAAATATGATAAATGAAATTATTTTAATGTTTGTAGGTTTTTTGTTTGTCCCCTTTTAGGACATATGGTTTTATCGGACTATTAGTATCAAATTCTTCAGTGGGGAAACTAAGACCACATTGTTATTTATTTATTTTTCACTGTCCATAGGACAAAACAGAAACTCTTTAGTCTATATAATGAAAATCCAATGTCTGTCTCGAAAGTTGTTTTTCCAGTACAGGTGTCAGAATGTAAAATATCTGCATAAACATCATTATCTCACAGTGTGGCTGCCCAACACATTTTCAGTTTTTAGCTTTGGCGTCTCCACCCCGATGTCTGATTGCCCTGCACTAAAGGTTGTTTTTTTATTATTACACAGTTGATTTGCTCACGTATCTACGGTCAGAAAAAAGGTTGACCACAAACCTATATTTAGATTACAACATTAAAGACTTGAACTGTGCAACATACTCACAAGAAAAACACACAATGGAAACTATATTCCACCTAAGGTGCCCAATATTTTCGGTTTTCTGTCTATCATCTTCTGTCCACCCACGGAGGGACTTTTCAACATCAAACCAGCACCAGTGTGAGTGTGAGTGTGTGTGTGGGGGGGATATTATTAGTATATATTACTCATGTTGTGTGGACCTAAATCTGCTTTAACACAATTCATTCAATTCTCCAGTCAGGACATGTTTTACGGTTATGCTAGGATTATAGGTACTAAGTTTAGTATTAGTGTCTGGTATTAACAACCTCCCAGAGAAAGCTGAATGTATGTCAGTTCACACCTTGAATGAAAAAAACACCCTGAATGGGTTTTTTGAGGCCTCCCGTGATCGGGTCTCACTTTCCTGCTCTGCATGCAAATACACGTGAAATAAACAAATCAATTTGACCTTACAACTGTGTCAATGTGCAACATAGTGTACAGTTGTTTGTCAGTGTTTGTGGGGGTGTGTGCGTGTGGGTGGGAGACAGTTCTTGAGGAGGCCACAGGAGGGCACACAATCCTGTAAGGCCTCACAAACAAACTGTACAGTAATAAAGTATAATTACAATGAACCATGGACATATGATTGTCAAACTACTTATTATTAATTTGTTCAAACAAATAAATGAATGGAGAACTCATGGAACTTTATTTCTAGGCCACACTGTCACCTTCACACCTTTTTTCCTTTTTCCCCTTCTTTGTTTATTTCACCTCCTCTATACTGAGCTCCACAAACATGATTGAATGTCTATATTTACCTACCCAGTGAACCAAATCTGTTGTTTCCTCGAGCATAGTCAAATCTCACTGACACTTTCCGAGCTCAGCAGCGTGTCGCACCCAGAGGAGTAAATTCCGCTGCTCGGTCCGTCTCATTTCAATGTGGTTACACTCAGCTCGGCACAAATCGTCACTTTCCGATGATCATGTTCCGGAATCGAAACCAAATATGGAGCATGGGGGGTGTTCCCCTTGTTTACCGGATTCAACCTTGTATGGGTTAAGAAGCTCGACCGGAATTCCTCTTCTGATATCAGATAGAAGAGAGTAGAAGAAAAACATGTGCGCCGGGGGTCGGCGGCGCAGAGATGTGTGTTCGCGGTGGCACGTGTTGCTGCTGTGTGGTGTTCTCACTTGTTTGTTGCTGTTCGGCATCCAGTGGAAAAGTCGCTTTATCTCCCGGAGCCGCAGCTTCTCCACTGACAAGCGATTCCCTTAGAAATCGTCACGGAGCACCTCGGCCAATCAGCATCCGCAGCGCCTCTTCCCCTCTCCGCCCTCAGCAACCCTCCCACTCCATATTTGGACAATGACGTAGCGGGCGCATTGGAAAGGTTCCCCATATATACATATTAGCGACGGGGCCCGCGTTCCCAGCGAGAGTCCCTTTCGGCTGTTAGGTTTGTGAGCAGAGCGCATGAAGCGCACCAGACACACAGGGCTCATCCTCTCAAGGTGTCAGACAGAGACATGCAGCGGTGACCCACGCGAGACTGGGTAAATTACGCACGGTTGTTTGGCACAAGCTTGGAAGAAAAAGAACAGAGAAGACAAGAGACACGCGTTCTCCTCACGATGACGGCTAAAACTCTGGAGAAGATGCCGGTGAATCTCGGGGGGTTCGTGCATCCCGTGGCCGAGAGCGTGTACTCGGTGGATGACAGCCTGCCGACCTCTGTGGCAATCTTCCCCAATACAGACATAGGAGCGCATTACGACCAGATTAATGTGGGAGCAGGTAAGATGGCAAACTTACTCAAAAATCCTTTACAGACAACTGTAGTGAAGAATAAAAGCTGTTTTCCTCCGCCTGTCATATTGAAAGTGTAGCTTATGTGTTCCAGATGTTGATTTAATGACATGATAAGAACCGAGTCCGTGCGTAATGAAACAGAGACGCACCAGCTTTCCCTCACTTCAAGCCCCCTCGCGAAGAGGTTAATTAATCCTGTTTGTGTTTGTGTTGCCTCACTAATGCTCTGCGTTGTCTTTTTCCTCTGCAGACGGTTTGATGAGCGCAGACAAGCCCTCTCTGGACCTCTCCCCCTACTCCAGTGGCTTCTCTCAGCCCGCGTCCCACCGCAACCAGACCTTCACCTACATGGGAAAGTTCTCCATCGACTCTCAGTATCCAGGTAACTGGAACCCCGAGGGAGTGATCAACATCGTCTCGGGCATCTTCAACGTCGCTCAGCCGCCGCCACATCCTCCTCCTCCCTCCTCATCAGCGTCCTCCTCCCCGGCTTCTTCTGGATCTCCCAGTCATTTCTCCGGCGGAAATTTGAGTTGCACCATGGCGGCTCCGAGCCAAGCAGAGATGGAGCATCACCACCACCTTTACTCGCCACCGCCTCCTTACTCCTCCTCTGGCTGCGCGGAGATGTACCAGGACCCCTCCGCTTTTTTGTCCACTTCCACCTGTCCTATCGCGTCCTACCCGCCACCCTCCTACTCTTCTCCAAAGCAGCATGTCGGCTCAGACGCGCCGGGGCTTTTCCCCATCATTCCCGACTACCCGGGTTTCTTCCAGCCAGCTTGCCAGCGGGACATGCACACGACAGGTATCCAAGATCGGAAACCGTTCGGTCCATGTCCACTTGATTCCTTTCGCGTCCCTCCACCCCTGACCCCGCTGAACACTATCAGGAACTTTAAACTGGGCGGTCCGGGTGGTGGCTCCGATGGAGGGCCACTCCCGAGGCTCCCATCTGCCTACAGCCCACAGAACTTGCCCCTGAGGCCGATCCTGCGGCCCAGAAAGTACCCGAACAGACCCAGCAAGACACCTATCCACGAACGGCCGTACCCTTGTCCTGCGGAGGGCTGCGACCGGCGGTTCTCTCGCTCTGACGAACTTACCAGACACATTCGTATCCACACTGGACACAAGCCGTTCCAGTGTCGGATATGTATGCGCAACTTCAGCCGCAGCGACCACCTCACCACGCACATCCGCACGCACACTGGAGAGAAGCCGTTTGCCTGCGACTTCTGTGGCCGGAAATTTGCCCGGAGCGACGAGAGGAAGAGACACACTAAAATCCACCTGAGGCAGAAGGAGAGGAAGTCTTCCACTGTCTCCTCCTCCTCATCGTCCGGCAACTCCGGAACAACCAACGGGATCTGTCCATAGTTAGTAAACTTTGCTGTCACCGTGGCCGCGTGGCGCACACTAACCATCGAATAATGATTCTGAAACTGTTGTGAACTAAACATAGCAGCCGAAACACCAGGATGAGAATGAACAAGAACTTATGTGCAGCCGTGCGCAATTACGCACAGCATGCACCCATACCTGCTCCAGAAGTGACATATGCACTTTGCCTGCACAGTCTACTGAACATAGAAGTAAATATAGCCATTATTTCATAAGAATATAGAAGGGCAGTTGTAATAAAGGGGATTTTTAATATACTGCCACACTTACTGAGCGCGCAAGAAGCAGCGTGCTTAAATGTGAAATAACCGCAATAATGTTTGAAATAAAGGAGAAAGTTTTAAGTTATTAAGTTGACAAAGTGTTGATCCTAACATTGTTGATGATGACTATATTTCCTCCTTAGTGCCTTGCTGCGTGTCTTTTTGTACGTTGATTCAAGGACGCTCCTAACTCATTGTGAATTGGTCTTTAATATGTACAGTGGAGACTTTCTATTTTTCTACACGTTTGGTGTAACTCCAAGTGTTGAGTCGTTGTGGTTCACGTGTAAAAACCATGTTGGAATGTAAATATGTTGAACTAATACCGACTTGACATGTTTGTTGTGTTGTGTGTTTTGAGACTTATTAAATGTGTGAGGATGTTAAACACAGCCGCTGTCAGTTTGGTTCTGTCTCGCAGAAATAACGCACCCAACTGTGTCAATCGTGGTGCCTTCCAGGAAAGAGGACAATTGCAATATTGTGTCTGAATATAGGCAGAACAAAAAGAATGTGTCAATATGTTGATGTTGGAAAAATTATTGGGTAAATTCCACGTTGCGTCACACCATGGCCCAAATGACTCAGAGTTTTCTCCCACTCAATTTTTACTCAGGTTTCTCGGGTTATAGGAGAAGATTTACTTTCCAAATAGCTTGTTTCGAGCTTTGCAGCAACAATGAACACTTGTCGAAGTAAAGGCGAAATAAACAACTTGCGCAGAATGTCCTGCTCAGCTACTCTTCATCGGTCAGGGTACTTTCTAATAGAAGTCGTGGTGTAAAATAAAATATGGCCCTTTGAAACAGAACAAAGATAAACCACAATGTTCAAGGGTGACTGCAAAGATTTTAGGAGGCTAAGTAGTAAATACATCTAATCCACCTAACCCTCCCCATTTTTAAAAATATATTTTATTCAGTAGTTCAGCATAAATGTGAATATTTACGCTACCTTGTGCATGAATGAAACTGTGGAAGAGAAGTACTGGATCCTATCGATATCTTATTTTTATTTACTTTATTTGTTAGAACACTCAGAAAAACAATAAACCTTAAATAGTGGCAGTCGATATAGGAGCGAATTGTAGAATAAAAACTTCTGCGTCTCAGTGGTAATTGTGATATTAAACGATTCAACTTTAATGCCATAAATAGTACAGAGATTGTAAGTATCAAGGTTATTCAGTGAATTATAATTCTTTGAACTTGCTATTTAACAGTCATTAGGAACAAACTGTTTGTTGTCCCAGACTTCTACAACTCAAGTCAAAGAAATAAATGCATTTCTTTATGTTCTGACCTGACAGTGACAGATTCCGAGCTTCAGTAATGTTTTTATACCTTTATCACAGAGGTCTGCAGACAGTTCCTGTGTATTAACAGGTGTGCACCTTTCTAAACCATGACAGTTTGTAAACTCCAGTCAGGTTGTGGACGCACAGGAACAGTTTGGAGCTACAGCAAATTCTCTCTCTCTGCCAGACCCGACGCTTTGTTACTATACAATTACACAGCCTTTGAATTGTGCAGTCATTAAATGTGTTAGATGCTGATATGGTGATATTCTATTTCTTTTCATGTTCATAGCTGTGTCATTGTCTAATACCTTTACCCCAATCCTTAAATAATCGATGCTGATGTGTGGGAGATATTTGATATGCTCATTCAGCACTGATCCTAAAACGAAACATCCCAGGATAAACAGCTGAGGACCACTAACAACCACAGTCAGTGTATCATGGTTGTGTGAACTCATTACTGGATTTCATGTTGATGTCAAAGTGTGTGTTGTGTGCAGTCAGAACGAATATAAGAATGAACCAACAAATGGCTCTATATTATCTAAACCGAAAACATCAAAGCCAGTTATCTTATTATTTCTATTATTAACTTTATTGTTGTCTGATACAGACTCACACTATTTAAATATAACATCATGTTGAAGCCAGTGCTGGAACACATTGCAGGCACAAAGAGAGGGCTGTTAAAGAGACTGACGGGGCAGAGCCGTCCACCGGTCCTCGATGTGGTGGGATTTGTCCCAGGATTCTCGATGGCCAGGCCGACTCTGTCACAGCCCATGGCTCTAAAAGAACAATTCTGATGTTGAGTTTCATGCCACCTGAAAGTCTGTGACCAACCGTGACAACTTCTTGGGTTGTTCTCTTTAATTCAGTTATTTAGTCCTGTGTATTAAGTCATTCTGGATTTGTTGAAAGTGGAGGTTTTCGAATTTCTGTCAGAAGCAGCCTGAAAATGTCCTTTCTCTGCACTTGACACAGATTAAACTGATAACAATCTTCCTGTTTGATTCTGGAGAATACAGACACACAAGGACTTTTCCCAGTGTCCCATGTCAGCTTCTGAGATGCTGTGGTGACGCCTGGGCTAATCTATAACATCTTTATTCTTCTCATTCCAACTTCCATCAAGCTGCACCGCAAATATTCCCCTCACTGATAAACTGGCCTGATAGACTTCACACTGGAAATTGAGGATAATTGCACAGCCACTGACCGGTCTGACAGCATCACTGTAACTGCACTGTCTAGTGACAATATCACTATACAGTCAATACCAGTCTGTGAGGCTTGTCCATGTTTAGTTACAACAGTGGTGGAGCGAGCATTTTTCGAGTCACGGGCTATAAAGGGGCCACAATTAACACAGTCTGGCCAATTATACGTCCAACATCTATGTACTTTTTTTGATAAAATAAGGTGCACATTGAAGTCATTACTTTATTCTTGACTGTATAGTTTTAAGCAAAGCCTATTGAGCATGTTTTGAAAATTGTTCCTTGTTCAAGCACAAAAACTTAAAATTCTCATATTTTTATAAGACCACTGACAGGACAGGGGCACTTTTTTGAGCTTGGGCCAATGCACCCCTGGCCCAATCCCTGGATCCATCGCCAGGGTGCAGACATGAATATTACCACTGTATTGAATTTTACACAAATGAAATCTACATTAATATGACAAACCCGGTTTTCCTGACACAGAAGGCCTTTCTCACAACATAAGAGAAAATTATTTAAAGTTTAGCACCGAGAGTTGATACGTTTAACAAATGTTCGAAAACTAATTTTTTATTCGGGGGTCTGACTGGAAAAAGTCTGCAGGAAGTCAAGAGGCTCTGAATTATTTCCAGGAGGACTTGGAAATGCTGTTTTCTGCATGATTTTCTTACTGGTGGGAGTTCAACCTTTTTAACTGGACATTCTAGCACACGTTCATCTTGTCATCCTGATAATCCTGAGTTAAAGCCAATGTAAGAAAAAACTGTGAAGCCGTTGTGACGGGTGTAGCCCCTGGATTGAGACACAGCTCATGATTCAAACTGGGAATATTCTTGCTGCAAGGCGACAGTGATAACCACCACACTAACATGCCAACGTGCTGCTCTACAACATAAGGGGACCCTGAAATTCCAAGTGTCCCCTGAAAAGGGGACACTTGAGGAAGGATTGGTTGTGTGGCGATTTTTGTTCCTAGTGGGTGGGATGACTGCATCAATTTCTTCTTTTGTACTTCTCAAGTACAAACAAATGGACTCAAACTAGACTATTTGTTTGGACCTACACGGTTAAATGAAAGAAAAAGCGTCTTCAGTGGGTAAATAAGCTACCGCCACAATAAAAATGTGAAATTATGAAATTTGGTCATTACAGTAACTCCAAGTTTTTATACAGAATAGTCCTTTTTCGATGTCACAGCAGTAACAGATGAAGGCTGAATTCCATTTCAGTGTGCCACTTTCACAGCAGTGATAGTGTCACGCTGGCTCACTAAACACAGATGGAACAGTTCTATCATTGATGCCACTGACGGCAACTCTTAATTCCTGCTAGGATACGTCAGCTTCTGCTGCGAAGAGCTCTATCAGAGAGAGGTCATTTCATGAGAACTGAGAAGAATCAGAAATACTTGTTGAACTTCACAAATGTAACAACACTTAAGAGATTCCCTTCTCGCAATTTGTAGTTTATGTATCAAAATTTAAGTTACAAGCCAAACTGTGCACAAGTGGCGGGATTTACCAATATAAAAAAAGTGACACCTTGGGCTGCGTGGTATGAGATGGACAGTTGACGCATCACAAGAATTTCCATTCACTTTATTGTTGCACATACATTCACCAGAGTATGAGAATCCTCGGTAGACTGGCACTTAGACCTGAGTCTATCCGAGGCCAGGAGAGTGTCATATTGACTACAGTTATGTAACATACAGACAGGAAAGATGTAGTGTTAATGAATCTACAAGTAAAAGGTAGTGAAGAAGAGTGTTGCTTTACACCATGAAAATGTTCATGTTCCCTAACACAGCTTCTTTCTGTTAAATGTAAAACGTTACTTTTAGACTGGATTGAAAGATTTCACTCTGTCCTTTAATGCGATACATCACACACGTCATATCACTGGATTCAATTACATGAGCTGAAATGTCAACACATGACCAGATATGTAGAATGAGCTGAACATCAGCTTTTTCCCTTAACTGTCCAGACCTGTGTAGGAACCATGTCATCTGGAATAAGTTAAACACATATAAAATAGAGCTGAAGTATATATATATATATATATATATATGATGTGTGCACTTTGGAAGAAGAAATTAGTGTGTACAATAAAAATGGCACTGATAAAGAAGCATACATTCAATATTCACAAATAAGGCAGGTGACTGGAGTTACAGGCTTTGGCATTAAGACACAGTGTGGTAGTCCTCGGTAGTACAGTCAGACATCTTGTGTGAGGACACAAATCAGAGACTCTGGTGACACCCCACCACTGACAGAACGTCAGGGTGATGACATTAGTTCATTTGAAAGGGGATGTCTGCTGTCAAAGCTTGCAGCAGTACTGAGTTTAGAGGAAGGTCCAGTTGTCCCTCTTCTAGGTGGGGTGTCAAAGTTCACAGCCCCTGCGTCTGTAAGCTTCTGCCCTGCTGTAGCATCCTTGAGCAAGGCACTCATGATCTTTGAGTTCCAGGTAATAGTGACCCTTATGTTTGACCTTTGTGTGGAAGGGGGTTAAACACAGTTCAGAGTTGTGGAATGGACGAATATCACAACATTCTTACTGTAAAAGGCTACTGTAATCATTCAGATAGAAACTGCAGGGCCTGGATACGGCTCCCCACCACACCAGAAGTCCTCTGGCTGAGGGACTTCAAGTAGCCATGTCTCCTCTTCTTTCTCCTGCTCCTCTCCCTGCTGCTCCTCGTTGCTCTTCCCATCCGCTTCCCTGTCTGCCACAGTTTGCAGGATTTTGAAATAGTGACAGTCCCGCCCATCATCTGGATTGTACGGCGGCGCCAGGATATCCAGGAAAGCAGCTGGCCCTTCCACTGCATCGATCTGGTGGAGGTTATCCCTCAGAGGGGTGAGGAAGCACGGCCCGCTGTTCTCTGAGTACTCAGCGACTGATCGCAGGATGGAGCGCCAAAGGGAGGCTGTCTGAAGCGGGGCCAGTGGAGGATCAAAATGAGGGGGGACGGAGTTGACAGTCAAGTTATCCTCCAGTTTATCGAAGCAGCGGACACTCACTTTCCCATAGAGAACCTGAGCCAGAGACAGGAAACAGGAGTTTCAGATTTAGCAATCATTGTCTGATGAATACTTTGTCTAGACTACTGCAGATCAGACAGATATTTCCCCTCTTTAAAAAAACAACAACCCTAAATCCACAGAACCTACATTTACATATTCTAATCAATGATGTGAATACTCTTATTTTGGTGATGTTCTCCGTTACACTTGGCACCTATTACACCTCCTGGGAGAAGGATCCCTGTGGAATTCTTTTGGTAGCTTTCTTGTTGATGGTTAAGGGCAGAGGATGTCGCACCTCGGGTACTTTACGAGACAAATTGTGATTTGTGAATATGGGCTATACAAATACAATTTGATCGATTGATTGATGCAGAATATCTTCGTCCAGACAAGACCACAAAAACGTCTACAAAAGCTCAAACAAGCACGCCAGGCCTGTAGGGGTCGATAAAGAATATCAAAGATCAGTCAAATGTCAAAGAAAAACACTGTGGCTCAAGAATTGGTGGAGGCAGATGCCTGTGAATGTCGGTAATGTGGCACAGTGATGCTAAACTTAGCTGCAAACTTGAATTTGGATCTAACATTGCTAACCAAACATAGAGAAATGCCGCTGTTATTATTGCTGTTGTTTCTATTGCTCATTGCACGAAGCAACAATCGGCATGCTGTGACATCATCGCTTCCCAAATGCTCCAATTCAAATGTACACAGGGATTCACAGAAACCTGAGTTTTTGATAATCTGCACTTTGTTTGCAAAAAAATCTCTATTTTAGTGACTTAATGTGGATAAGAGGCGCAAACAGAGAGGAACGTTTGTTTCGCATAACATTTGCATTTGGCCTGGTCACACATGAGCAAATATAGAAGTGGTGAACCTTCACCTTTCGCTCACTTTCAACTGTACTGGATTTGGGTGCAACGCTGTTTACCCCTGAACTCCAGAAGTGTTTTGAGGACTCAAACACTCCACCCACCCCTCCACAGGCATAGTGTTTGCGTAGATCATGAGTGAATTTGTATTTTTCTGTGAACTATCCCTCTAACTGACGCAACAATGCTTTTCAGACTTTTGTGAAGCCACTTCCAAACAGAAACCAAAATGCAATCAAGCAAATTACCGAAAACTAATGGCCTTGGTGCGTGTGCATTACTATTGCATGGGTGGTCTTTAGCTCCTGGTGGACTGTGCACACAACTGTGACCGTAGACATGGGTGTCAGGGAGGATCAGACACATTCTGTGCTCTGTGATGTAAACTAAACAACTGGGTGTGAGTCAGACATGTGTTTCAGCAAAGGTCAACAAACTCAAACAGGACGATTCACACGTGAAGCTGCACAGAGTTCTCTGAACCCGATGAAATGCTCCCACTCCTCACACTTTTGTCTTTAACCCTTTCGAACACACGTCACCTAACAGACAGACACCGTGAGGGGGCCACAACATAGCAGACACGACGCGGTGTAAAGACCTTGAGCATCCCGTTCATGTCCGGGTGGTCGTGCAGCGGTATGGAGGCGCCGGACCTCAGCAGGAACACCCCCATGCTGAAGACCTCCGTCTCGCAGATGTGCATGTAGGTGACCGGGGGGCCCTGGAGCTCCGCCGCCCCTGAGCTCGGCTTGCTTTTCCGGGGAGCGATTTTCAGGTCTGCCGCCCGGACCGCGGTCACTAAGGAGATGAGTTCACTCTGTGCGTCCGCCACGTTGGCCGAGGACTTGAGGCCCTTGTAGGTGATGTAGGCCTGCTTCGCTATCTTCTGGATCAGAGGAGTTTTGTTGTCCCGCGGCATTCTGGCTGCGGGTGAGAACAACTAACGGTGATCGCTGTGTCCCTGGTTTCCCGACGCACACCCGATGAATAGAAGCCTCCGGGGGTCAGCAGGTCTCCTCCGGGGCAGCTCGGTGGACGCTCACGGCAGACAAGGCTGTTGCTTTCATTAAATGAAGACGTGTTTCATTGTGATGTAGTCTGATCCCAGCCCCAGATGAGAGCCTCCCCGCGGTCATTTTCCACCGTCTTCTCCTCGCTCGTGTGCACTGAGCAAGCGCAGGAGGCCAGCAGCAACCTGGGATATGTAGTTTCACCAGAAGCTATCGTCTCTGCATCTCAATAACACTCGCATGATAAGTGAAGCACCGTGTGATCGGACCATGACAGACGTATTTCTGTGACTGTGCAGGATTACAACATATGGCAACTCAAAAGGTTAGAAACATAAGATGGCCAGCATAGCATGGAGGACTACATTTCCCAGAGGTCCTAGGGAGGAAGGCGATAGAGATGCAGAGGGGAAGGCCACACAGGCCATTGAACTCCTGGGCTGATGTTTGAATTGTCTTTTTGTTCAGGCAGGTTTGGTACCTGGGGGAAGTTTGCTTCTCGTGCACGACTATTTTGACATGAACTGAGATCTTTTATCAAACTGAAACAATTAGTTTTGTTGCCTAAATCTTGACCAACAACAAAAAACTGAAACCAGACAACCTGAGGGAAACTAACAACAACCACAGGTTCTATCTGAGTAAAATGACCAAGTAGAATGAAGTTTATTTAGTTTGTACTCCCTATTAATCTATTTGCCAAATAAACCCCACCTGTTCACACAAGCCTTTGGCCACTCAAACCACTTTACTGTACAGTTTTGCCATTCACACGTATTCATACAGTGCATCTATGTGCACGACTAAACATACACTCACATAAACCGGCACAGGCATCAGGGGAAATATGAAGTTCAGCATCTAGCCCTAGGTCATTTCGGCACGAGGTTGAAGGAGAGTGGGATCAAACCGCTCACCTTCTGGATGGTGGATGATTATTAATATCAATATTAAAGTTTATATTATACTTATTAACAACCACATGGCTATAAGGCAGCCTGCAGCCATCAGCCAGTAAACAACAAAAATCTTGACTCAATCTGGGCACAATCATGTGATCCAGCAAGTCAACTGTGGAGTGATCACACACCTTCTTAGAAACGACACATCACAGTAACACACACAATCATAGCGACCTGCTGAGGATGTGGTTTTTATTACCTCATTGACAACTAATGAAGTTTTATTCAAATAATTATCTTTCACAATTATAAAAACCTCTGTTTTGGGTTCTATATGCTAAGAATTCCAAACAATAAAAGTTGTACCAACTAATTATGCTTTGTAGAGACAACTAACACAACAAGTTCAATCTACATGTTCATATAAAACATGACAAGTACTTCAAGCATGAAACAATAGTTTAACTGTTAACACTTGACTGCACTTCGGGGGGAATTTCAAGTGATCTCATCTGACTGTGGGCAAGGAGGCAGGTGCATTATCGTCTTTTTAAATCTTTGGTTTGCCTATCATCTGGATCGGCATCCTGTTGAAATAAAGAGGTGGTTCCAAATTAAGAATGTATACTCATGCATAGCAATCAACCTATTAAAAATAAGAGCATTTCCGATTGCTCAACCATCATGCAAGTAGTTGGAAAAAACTACTCTATTGTTCAGAGTGCTCATTAATAATAGTTTATAATCTGATCAAATGTTTATCTTGAGATTGTGGCTGTGTTTTACTATTAAAACCTATGTACGCCCATTACCAGCTCCTGTGGAAGAAGAAGATGAAACTGAAGATTAAGATGATACCTGGGCTCAGGAATATAATTCAAGGTCCGCCTCTTTGTCAGTGTCCTGGATGAAATCAATGCAACATCAACAAATGAAATTAAAAAGAAGAAAGAGAAGAATAAGACAGTGTGGTCAAAATTATATTATCAGTGAAACATATCATAATTCCCACTTTCCTCCCTATAGTTAAAGAGGACATTGATATAGAGATGATATAAATCACTACAAAAATAAGAACAAGTCAAACATGAGCAGAACATGTACAAAGCATGAATGAATCAATATGAATCACTAGTCAGATGTCAGTGTCATCATCACAATTCTTTTTTTGAAGCACGGAGTTGGAAGGAGGAAAGGGGTCATTTATCCCCTGGCTCACATTTGTTTTTAATTCACAGTATAAGTCACTGTATCTCAGTTTCAACCATTTCCATCTATTTTAAGATCCATCTTGTAATGGGATCACACCATGATTCCTGTCAATAATGTATTAATAAACACTGAGTACTGGATCAGTATGGCAACATGTTGATAAGAATAAATAAAATCATTTGAGGGGCAGCTGTGGCTCAGGAGGTGGATCCGTCACTTCTCCAGGCTGCATTGTGAAATGTCCCTGGTCAGGATGTTGAACCTGACGTTGACCCTGACAGCTGTGCCGACATTGTATGAATGGATTATGATAGAAAACGTGCTGCATATAGAAGTATTGTATGAATAACTGGGTGAGTGGGACTTGTAGTGTAAAGGCTCCGAGTGCTCAATATGACGCGCTTTATAAATACAACATACAATCCATTTACCATTACATTCCAAGTAAATCAACCCCTTTTTAACGCACTTCCTACACTTTCTCTTCCAAATAAATTTAGAAGAGAAAATATTTTATATCATCTGTGTACTTGTATAGTCTGTTTAAAGCAATGTATGTAAAATAGTAGGTTCCTTTAGCCATAGAGGTGGCAAAACAGAAAACACTCATGTGCATAATTTTTGTCATCCCTCTGATCTGGGTGACGTATCAGAAAATCATTCATGGATTGTTGTAGAAGGCAGGGACAAGGTACTTACATCAATCTAATCGTAAATCAAGACTCCCTTGTTATTTTCTTTTACCACCAGGTTAAGAGCACAGGAACCTAATAACATAACATCTGATAACAGGGCCCAGTTGCCATGTGTGGATAGACAGCCTGCAGTCAAAGTCTAGGTCTCGTTTTTGTGTTATATGGATTTGATGTTCTGAATGCTGAGGAAACTTTCAAAGCACCCACCCCATGAAGCCAAAAAAGGAATTGAGCGGTCAGACTGTCGTAGTGGCTTTGGCTGGTCACTGCCCTCTGGAGCGGAGGGAAGTGAGCATGGTTAATCCAGCAACAAAACACGGCACTGACTCACCCACATCACAAACACTCTTCGTAAAATGGACTTTACTAAGCACATGTGCCTCTGTGTGTACTCACATGCAGTGCAATTAAACCATACAGTTGTGTGTGGGTTTTGGTTTGAGTACCTCCTTACATGGGTGTATTTGTGTGTGTGTGTGTGTGTGTGTGTGTGTGTGTGTGTGTGTGTGTGTGTGTGTGTTGCATTATGTATGATTCATGCTGCATGATGAGTGAGGGAGACACAAAGCAAGCAATATCCTCTTGAGAAATAATGAGGCCAGTTCATTATAGGTACACACACACACACACACATACACACACACGCATAAACACACACACATGCACAGACGTTTCTCTAGTAGACTAATTCAATTATCTTATACACTCTGGCGTGGTCGTGCAAGCAGGGTATTGCTTTCACCAAATTTGGTGAGAATATTACTCACGAATGTGTAACATACAGTTGATCGGAGAAACACACTTTCCAATATATCTCCACAAATCTTAAGCTAATATTGATCAGTAAATGATTCTCCATCATATAAATGGAGAAGTCACGAACAAGTCAGACAGGAACATCATACATCTCTGCATCCTTTCAGATTATAGACATAACCTAAAATGTGAATCGATCAAAGAGTACATTTTGATCACATGATAGGGATTATGTCATCAACGTCATCATGAAGTCAGAAAATATCGTTCATTTTATTTGACATTTGGAAGTAGGAAAGGGATCATTTTGTCCCTACCTTACGCCCGAGGCCCACATTTGTTTTAAGTCACAGATCACTGTACTTAAGTTTCTGTCATTCCAGTCCACTCTAAGACATGATCACCTTCTTATGAGATCACACCAGCTGTCTCTAGTATATGATATCAGCCTTACTCCTCCAGTTATCAATATCCAAGTGTCACACTAAGTGTAAACTAATCTGGACGTGTCACATTTGAACTTACATGTGTAAATGGCACCTACACAGCAGCAAGACATATCTGGGTTGAAGAAATATTTCACAGTTGAAAAAGAATGATCACATTTTCAGAACACAAGGAAGATTAGATCAGTTCAGCTTAACAATCATGCAAGTGATATTTTATTTCTGATTTAACTCCACCGTCCAAACTTTTGTAGAACTCTGCTCAAAGGGCATCTCACCATCCTGAGTTTAAGTTACATAAAACAATATTGTTTGAATTATGTGTCCTCTGAGGACAAAGACGAAAAAACCTTGTTTGTCTGCGATCTTATTTGCATGTGGTGCCGGTCCTTGGACATAAAGCCAACATTATTCCCTGGCTGCTTAAAATTTGCATGACTGACATTGCAGAGAAGTCAAGCCAGCTACATCATGCCATCCTCACAGCCACGGCCAAAGATCTCTGAATGGTGCAAGTGATTCTCTGCCTGTCCCCAATTAGCTTCGAAATATACAAAGACAGAACAGATCTGACGGACACGTGCACACTGATGCAAACCCAGACATGCACACAGGTGCAGATGCACACGTGCACTGAAGTACACACAAAAATAAGGTGTGATTTGAACAAGCATGTCTACAATCACTCTCACTCACACACACACACACAAACACACACACAAATATATTCACACAAATTCCTCTGTCCTCTGGAATCAGCATATTGAGACAATGAGACAATGATAACAGCTGCTTATAGATCACTTACTGCAACCAGTCAACGTGGCCTTTGTGTTCATTCAATACGCAGCCTGTTCTCTGTCACCAGAGTTGACATTATTTCACGATGTGTTCCACTGCTGAGAACATGAGGAGTCTTTTATTTGTTGCCCCCTGTGGCCTCGTTGAATCAGGCCATCATTGTGAATGAAACCGACTCTGTTGTCCGTCAAAGACCGCTAACAACTCGGGCCAAAGATGAAAATTCATTAGCTTGTCGGAAAAAATGTCTGCATAACTTGAGTGGAAGCGGCAGGAGACGATGCCATGCTAATGTTTGTTCTCTCCATCAGAAAGCTGCCTTCTTCAGATAGGATTTCTGGGGATTTTTTGGGGTTCGTCTGTCGACTGTGAGCCGACACAACCAGTCTAACCAGTCTCATGCCAGGCAAAATGCTAAAGTCTGTCATTTACTATATGTACTGTATATCTTCATGTCAGAAAACTACCAGCAGCTTCCTTGACAGGAATTTGTAGCATATGTGGATTTTATTACAGCTGTCTTCAGTGCTAATATCTACAGCTTTTTATTAACTTATTAGTATTGTTTGTTCATTTGCCATCTTCTCCTTCTCCATCCATTAAGCCTTCTAATTTTTGCTGCTATTATGTCTCACTGTCAAATATAAGCAGTCCACTCTGCCTCTCTCAAAGTTTTACTGAGTTACATTAGTTGTGTATATGTACTTATTTTATTACTACTTCTCATTTACAGTAATGCACGTGGAAGGTGAATGTGACATTTAAAAGGAGTTAATGTTACTGAAGTAATTTTGAGAGAATGGAGGCTGTGGGTCAGCTCTAAACAAACTGGTCTCATCAAATCTAGATAAACCAACACAAACACACTGTGTGTTTCAGGGCACAAACACACACACACACACGCACACACACACACACACACACACACACACACACACACACACACACACACACACACACACACACACACACCACTATTGTGTTCCCACCCTGTGTCTTTAATGGTTGGGCTGCAGACCCTGACCACCCAACTCAGATCTCTGAATTAGGAGTGATGACAGGCAATGTTGAACACACATACACGCGCGTGTACTACA